TATGTTGATACCAAAATAATACCCTTTCCAACACCAGCAAGTTATATTTTTTAAAATTAAATCTGATAGCAATTAAAGCTAGCCATACGTCTCATACTTTCCCAAATCTTCCATATTAACGTTAGCCTACAAGCCATTTAATGCCTCTGGCAGCTGGAGATGGGGAGAATTCAAGAATGCACGGTAAAATATTGGCTCTATTTATTAATTCAGCATAATTTTTGCCTCGGCTAGCGTATCAGTTTTCATGAAAATCTAGCCATATCTGTGCATTTCTGCGTGGTGAGAAATTTAAGCAGCCTTGAAATGATGATGCAGCCAAAGGCATTTAGATACAGCACTTGTGGTGGGACGCTATGGCTCGGTGATAAGCGATGTCCCAAGGAGGCGAGTGGAGGCTTCCCCTCTGCTCCATCCCCGCTGCGGCAGGTCGGCGGGGAAGCGCAGGCAGCTCGGAGCAGCATTCCATCACCCCGAGAGCCTTGGCCCTGGCAGCCTCCCACCGAGGAGCTACTCCCAGAAATCTTTCCTTCAGCGCTGTCCTAAGGTCCCATTCTCTTCACCTCGTAACGAGCCAAAATCTTTGGTGACCATTTTGCGTTATTACATTTTTTAAACAGTCTGTAAAAATAGAATTCCCTGATTTCTTTCTCCCTCCTCGTTCTGAGAACTCATTTAGAAGGTTAAAATCTTTGGCCACTTCAGCTTAATTTCTCCTGCCTCTACAAATGTTTCTGATGTCCCCCTCGCAGCTCAGCCCAACTGCTCAGCTTTTTCTAAGTGTTACTGTTTCTTTTTTCCTCTCCACCTTTTCATCCTTCTCATTGTCAAGCGTTCTTAGAAAAAATAATGATAAAACTGGCAAGTTGATTAAAATGCGACAGTAGTAAGTAAAGGGAAGACACCTATATGAAAACAGTAAAAGCAAGGATAGCATCTTTCTGTGTTCAGATGATTGCAAAATTGTCTTTGAACTTTGCATTGATTGCAGTGGTCTCACTTCACTGGGAGATAATCTGAACAGACTGTGAAGCTAGGATATCAACAATTTTCAACCAAAATATTTCTACCAGTATTTAGTATATCCACATCAACAACATGCAGCTTCAGAGATCAAGATAAGTTTTAAAGAACCACAGAATACACTGCTAAAAATGTCGTCTGGAAAAATACCCGACATTTAGAACAAATTTCATAGCTTTGTTTTGTAGGATTACTAAACAGAAGAAAACACTAAAACCAGGACTATTTTAAAGGCCACACGAACTTACAGTTTGGTTAGTAACAAATGTGTTGTGGTAGTTCTTTTTTTAAATTTAAAAAACTAACATGTATTCAGTTTTACAGGCTCATAATACTGAAAAAACTCCACCGTCTGGCACAGCATTAGCTCCTATATGTACTCAAGAAGAAACTAATATAAGCCCTGCATATTTTTTCTTTTTATAATTTGCAATATTCAAATTAATGAACTGTTTCTGCCTTTCATTATATTTAAGCAATCTCACACGGTTTTACTTGGTGGCCAAACTTGGCTCATAAATGTGATTTTCCCACTGACAATACATGAATCAAAAACACGAAGTCTGCTTTGCACATTTGTGTGCTAGTTTTTAAGGACAAACAGAAGAGCATTTTTAAACTCATCAGCTGAGCAAGGTTGATACAGGGTCAAGAGGAAAGAAATCTGTAACAATTTTACGATGTTTTTCACACTAAAACAACACTTAAAGCATAATGATGTCATCTTGGCTCCACCAAAGTCAGCAACGAAGCTGTCATCAACTATTGTGCAGCCAGACTGCAAACTTAAATCTTCCTAAATATATCAGATAAGCGAGTGCCAGATCTTGCAGACTAGCTTTACCTGCAAAAGTGCAAGTCTTCTTGCTCTTGCTATTTGATGGGCTTCCACACAGAGATCAAGCAGACTTTTGCAAGACAGAAAATATTTTAAGCTTCAGACGCAGCCTCAGGCAGGAGCGCAACCTTCCATTCAAGATGGTTGCTTTAAAATAACTTTGACCTGACACTGACAGGACTATAAAACTTAAGGGAGGAGCAGGATTTTGCTCGTTATAAGCAAATAATAATAACAATCATCATCATCATTATTATTACATAAAAATAGAGTTTCTGTATAGCTAATGGAGACTGGAAGTGAAAGAAGCATGTGTACACGTAAACCCTTCTCCTCTGTCTTAAAGTTAAGAAACCAGAACAGACTGGTAAGGTACAAGATTAATTTCAAAGTCACTTGATGAATCTAAATGAATTAAAACAGATGTTTTAAACAAAGGATTGCAAATATTGTTGCCATGATTTATCATAGTTTAAAGTCTGATAAATGCCTCTCAAAACAGATTTAAAAAGCGTGGTCTGTGTTCAGAAGAACATACAGGTTAACACATGGGATAAGTATAGGAAGAAAGCTGCAAGGACCTGGTGACATCCCTAATAACGTCTGTTGACAAGGTAAAAGCTATGTAAAATTAACACAAGTAGGTCAATATTTAGTCTGATCAAATGTGGTACATCCTGCTTTTGACAGTGGTCTGACACCTAAGACTATATATTAAAAAAAAAAAATAATAATCTTCCATGCTTCCATACTAGTGTCTGAGTTTCCAACAGTCCCTGACTTGGCCACTTCCTGATATTCACAGATGATACACTTCTATTTACTAATCCTCAATGAATTCTTTCACTCATTTTTAAATCCAGGTTTGCTTTTACTTCACCAGGACGTAACAGCAACAAAAATAAGCTAGGTTGGAGTTTTGTTTGAATGTCTTAGTAAAACAGACAGACTAACGAAGTTGCTTCCCAACCCTCAAGGTGCATTTTTGTTGGGTCCCCGCTAAGTGACTTGCTACCTCTGCAGCGTCCCCAATAGTCCTCTCCAGGAATACAGCAGTTTCAACTCATTGCACCAGTTTACGCAGGCAGGGCAACAGGAAAACTAGTCTACCCACCAAGGAACAACAGAGGTAAGAAAATAAATTTTTTTTGTGTGTTTCCCTTTGTGTCTCTCCGTAAGAGAGACAGTAGTAATAGCAGAAAAACAGGAGTCTGGTTAGAAACCACCTGTATTATAACCAGGATGGAAAGCACAGTTTGACACCTATCATCCTCATCAGGAAATACAATAAAGAAACTGGAAAAAAATAATTCTCTTTTCCCTCCAAATGCATTTTTTTAATTTAAAGAAACAATTTACAACTTGCAGCAGAAAACATATTGGATTTAACAAGCAGTATTATTTAACAGCATGATATTAATGATGCATATCACATTTTGATATCGATTTCCTGGGAGAATGGAGATAGTTGAGCTTTATCACACACAATAATTGTTAAACGTATATTTGGAGCACCCTATGCATTAAACAGCACAGTAAAACATGTTTCTAGAGATGTTTTAACAGACACAAGTTTAAAATTGCATTTTTTTTCCCCAATTTTTGGAGCCCTTTTCTTTCTTTATTCAGTGAGTATGTCCGTGACTATTATTTTTGGACATATTACCATTCTTTAAACAATAAAACAAGCAAAATTGTTAGCATCAGGCACCAGTCATCCCCCTGCTGTTCATCTCAACATGTTGTTGAGACTTCTGAAACATCAGAAAGCACTTGGCCAAGTAATAATAATAAAAAAATTAAGCCAGCTTTTGGAAGCACACAAGAGGTTGCGTGATAAAGAAAGGAAAGATCCAGAGTGGAAAGTCAGCCCAGAGTAGACCTTGACAAATCTTCCAAAATTCAGCTTTAGCATACTAAACAGCTTCAACTGCACTTATTTCCATGGGGGAAGGAGAAGAAAAGAAAGTTATATAGAGGTAGGGTTTGGCGAGCTGATAGTAAAATCCCTTGAATACAGGAATAGGGAGACAAAAAAAAGCAAACAAAAACAAACGCAACCCTCCCTCCCCATGGTAACGAATAAGTAAATAAGTAAACACACACCCAACTCTAAAGATTGTTCTTTTAACCTAAGAGAAGTTTTGCATGGACCAGAGGTGTGGAAAGAAAAAAAAAAAAAAAAAAAAAAATCGCTGCACTATTCAGTCTATTTAGTATAAGAATCAAATGCAGCTCCTTATATACATATTTCTTGGATTCCTGACTTGAAGTCTCTGTCTTCATTTTCAAAATCCTGCTGTGAGTCCTTGCACATAAACCTGTATGATCTAGAATAACAAGCACTGGGGTGGAAAGCAGGGATCTTCGTATTGTAACCTCAGCCGGATCACCTATTTACCAAACGTTCTCCATCAAAAAATACTAACTTTAGTTGTCCCTAAAACAGGGACAAAAATACTGCTAGACGAAGAGAATGTGTGCATAACAGCAAGATGAGATTTAACATTTGCATATAGCCTAAAATTGTTACGAAGAAGGTGAAAACTATGGAAAGCTACATATCTGCACTCCCACTGCCTGCAGCCAGTGATAGGAACTGGACTCTGACGTGGAAGGCAAGGGAAAGATGAGAACTTCAGACAGTATTTTTCTTCTCCTAATTTGTTAAAGAAGTGTCAAAACTAAATAGTCTGTGCTCAGAAATAACTCCACTGATAACTGTAACTCACAGAGGGGATAGTCTAGACTGCTGCAAATATTAAGGCATGTATGATATCATCTTTTTTTTTTTTTCCCCTCCTCCTTTTTCAAATTAACATTGTAAGAACCATGCTCAGAGGCTAATCTGAACTCTTCAGATCCATATATAATATCTGCTTGGAGTTGTTCTTTTTGGGGGCTTGGGGATGGAAGGGAAGAAGATGGTGGTGGGACTTTTAAAAATTAATTTATTTTACCTGACGTGTTTCATATATCTAGATTAACTTCAGGGAGAAAAGGTTATGTTTAAACTGTTAAATTAAGCATCTGTTGAGACAATAATTAATTATCTTATTTGATGATTTCTTGAAATAGAGACCGTAGACTTAACAAATATGATCTGGAGGAAACATGTACTCCTCCTTGGCTTGCGTACCTGTGTCACTTCCAGATCCAGCTGATAAGGCTGGCATGATTTAGTCTGCAGAGTGTCAGGCAGGAACGTCAGACTAGTGCTCTGCAGCCAGCAGGCAGAAGTCAATTTCTGTTTAACTGCTTGCAGCCAAGTTGTCTATGAAGATTTATGCTATCTCCCAGTTTCTCCTAGAAAGAACAGAAACAGAATTTTACAATTAAGAACACTGTTAAACTGTAAATTACCGCAGCTAACCAAATCCAATCATTATCACAAAATAACCTTTTGATTTAAGACTCTTAAAACAAAGTGCTTTGCATTTATTTATGGCTGTTAAGATTATTTTTTTTCTCCAGGTGAAACAAGTTTTGTTTTCTTCAGTCTAGCCTATAATCCCATTCTGCTGTAAAAATAATTTAACACATTTCTCTCATGTAAATTATACTCTTTATTTCCAAAAATACTCAACATGTTGGAGTTAAAGTCTAGGGTTATTTTATTAAAACAATGAATAATTTAAGTCACTCAAATTTTGCTACTACTTATGCCAGAAAAAAAATATTTGCCTACTCGCATAGTAATAATTTATTCAATGTTTCTACTTAACCCCCTTTTAATTGTTTTCAGTTAAGATCTAACATGCAATTTTTATTTGTAATCTGAAAATATAATCTAAATTTTAACTGAAATTGTAAAAAACCGGACTAGGGCAAACACTTCTGTAAGGTAAAGAGCAATTTGACTGACAGAGTTGATGAAGCCATCATCATGCAGACCACAAAGAATTTTTCTGTAATTCATTACTAAAAAGTCAGTATTTTTTTAAGACATATTTTAATTATTGCACAGGCCTACTGAGTAATATAGAGTAAATAGAGTAAATATAACAAGTTTTCCAATATAAGGGAATGTATTTAAATTCAAGAACGTCAAATATGATACTGGAACACAAACTTGTGAAAAGAAATTCATAGTTAAGACTGGAAATGTTTACCAATAGCAGGGCAGGGGTCTGATGTGTTTGCAGGCAGAAGGAAGGGAGACGGAGAAGTAGAAGCTAACAGAAAACGGGTTTTCTCCAGATTTCAGTGAACAAAAAGGATCCTTGAAGAAAGCAAGCAGCATAGTTCTGCTTTAGCATAAAAAAAATAAATAGAAGAGCATTTTGCTGCTGCTGTTGCTGGTTTGGTTTTTGTTGGGTTTTGGTTTTTTTTTAAACACATTCATATTAATCAGAATGACTTTTGAAGTCATCTTGGCTCTGAAAGTGCATATTTTGGACACATTTGTACTTGGCAACAGTCTTGTGGAAGAGTAATATACAGGTGCTGTAAACACTGTATGCTGTTCAAAATTTTGTTTTTCACCAAAAAAAAAAAATCCTCACATTGCTAAAAGTATTGCAACATATTAATGGCCATCCACAAGATTTTGTTCAGTAAGTTTTAAATCAATTATTTGATATAAGCTAGTTGTTAACTTGTCCCTAGGCATAAGCCTATAATTTAAATAGTCTGGCAACTTTTTAAAGTTCTTTTTTTTTTCTCCCCTAAGTGTTTACCCGAAGAAAGATTTCGCATGTCAGCTTTCAAACTGCAGTGAACCTGTTGGGTTTTTTTTTTTAAGGCAGCAAATCCAGCAGAAGTTACAACCCTGGATAAGTTCTATGATGAAAAGAACCAAATAAAACTTAAAGACCTATCTATTAAGATTGTTTTATTAGGGTTTTGGGGTGTTCTTAGTCATAAACGTTTGTGGTGAAGAAAAGAAGTGAGTTTTCACTAAAAAAGCATCAGCTTCCAAAAAAGTATTTTGACATCCATCAAGTCAGCACAAGGTCCATTAACTTAAAATTTAAAACAGAGATAAGAAAGTTAAGTATTTCAAAGTGAAAGCTCATCTTGCGATGACAAAGTTGTAAAACATCTATATGCAAAGCTAGCCAGGGTGCAGTTTAAAAGAAAAAAAAAAAAAAAAGATATCGTAGCCAAGGACACACTGTACCAATTAAGAAGGAACATATTCACTTTGCATTAATTCTTCTTGTTTTCTTTTTAACACATACAAGCGCCATAAAGGAGAAGTCATGTTCTAAGCTCACTTACAGTCCCTAGCGTGAGCACACGACTACAGCCGTACGAAGGATGGAGGCATTTTCAGTTTTCATACGTGTAAGAAATTGGTTAAACTGATTTACTATTAATGGGACATATTTGATTTATATGCAGCTTAAAGTATTTTTGTCTATTAAGAAAACCAACTCAAACATGCAAGGCATTCTCATTAAAGATGCATTATTATAAATAGAAATTCAGGTTCCTTTCAAAGTTCACTGCAAAACGAGGAACGTCTTGTTGATCTACATACAAGTCATGTATTTAAACTCAGTCAATTTCTTTGTATTTCTTTATTTCACAGTAAATCATTCAATTTTTAAAAAATTCAAGCTCATTATTATTTAAGAAACTTATACACGGCATAAAGTTATTCCCCCTAGATCCTAAATATATATTAATGAAAAATAAATGACCTGATGAAATCCTTACCAGTAAAATGCTTAATATTTTGCTGGAATGGAACCGGGGATTTTTTTTTTTTTTCTAACTTGCAAATTAAGCTACATTTTTGCAGTGATGATGTTATTTTCTTTGGCTTGCCCTATTTAAAATGCTTTGGAAGTTTTTGCCGGAGCCCAGCCATAGGCATTGCTGACTGCTGTATGGAATCGATTTGCTGCAACACAGAAATACCAGCTGTTACAGTATGTCCTGAGAGGGATTACCGAATATTCTTAAATTGAAGTTCAATCCATCTTTCCATAAAAATTAGAAGCCAACGCCAGGAACGTAACAGCAGTATCAAGTGCACCTGAGGCATTTACAATACCCAGCAGGACCGTTACAACCAGCCTCTAAAAAGGGCTTATTTTTGAAATTTCATTATTCCAGCCGTACCTTGCTTCTATATATCACACCGTATCGGGTTCTGCTGGCACCCGCCGCGTGGAAACACCGAGAGCCGCGCAGGCCCCTCACACGCCGGGCACTTTCCACCGGG